GGGGGGGGGGGGGGGGGGTAATGAGAGGCAACCAGCCGAATCCTTCTTTCGATAGGAAAATTCGTAGATGAGCAGCGCTGATTATAAAGTGCAATATTTCTTGCGAGAATAATGATGATAATTATATTATAATAATAGCAATAATATACGATAATATATATAATAGTTAATAATTATTAATAAAAATAATATATTTATATTAATATAATAATAATAATATAAACTAAATTTATAACATTCGCGGTTCTCTAGTATAAATTAAATGAAAAGACTTCGTCTGTAGGTATATTGTGCAGAAAGGTGTGGTGTTTATATACAAAATGTATTCGATTTTCGAAAACCACGTCAGTTAGGCACCTCGTGTTTTTGTTACCTCTAATTCACATCGGAACGACGCGAAGCCGGCGTTTTCCCATTGAGATCCATCGCGCGAGGAAGGGATAACCCTCCGCGATTTCGAATTCTTGTTCCGAACGAAACAAATATCTCTTCGAGAAATCGCTCGCCCTGCGCGCACGTTCCGATTTCCGCCTCTCATGTTATTTTTTCTCTCATCTCTCCCTTCTTACTCATCCACTCAATCACAAACGCACGCACACACATACACACACACACACACACACGCACGCACGCACGCACACACACACGCACGCACGCACGCACGCACATACTTATTCATTCATTCATTCATTCATTCATTCATTCATTCATTCATTCATTCATTCATTCACTCACTCACTCACTCACTCACTCACTCACTCACTCACTCACTCACTCACTCACCCACTCACACACTCACTCGCTCGCTCGCTCGCTCGTTCGCTCAATACACATACATACAGATAGATGAGCACTTACGCGCATTTACAGATACATTATCCGCGCATAATAGAATATTTTTAATAATAGTTATTAGGATTTCTATTGTGTGGGTGTTTGTAGAAGATACATATCACATTTTCGTTAAATGGTTAAGAATAATGACCGTACAAATGCACACCGCAAAGTTACTCCTCTCTGTTAAACAAGCTAAAGCGAATCTCTCATTTCCTCACCCTCGTTTTCTCTCCTCGTCATGACCCGTGTATGATAAATATATATATGTATATATTTATATAATTGTTAAATAAATTGTTAAATAAATATACACCTGTGTAACTATAAAAAAAGAAGAAGACAAAAGACAACCCTTAGTCCGCACACACGCGTTATCGCTCGTTCTAACGTGATGATACGTATATTTGTAACTTTTGCATATATTCAATGTAATAAATAGCTCGATACGACTATGTAATACAGCGCAATATGATACTAAAGTACCATACGGTTCGATACTGAAATGTATGACTGAAGAAGTTCATACAACGTAGTCAACCACATCAGTGAACCGTTTGTCTCTCATATCTTAAACATTAAAATTCTTCAATCTCAACGCGCCACGTATTGCCGAAAGATTAATTGATGATGGTATCCGCGAGGATATGTGCGTTATAAAGCGTTTCATACGTGCATGAAGACTAAAGGGAAGTCGATGAGCCTCGCGACGAGAAGAGATCGCTTTTTTCCGTCTGAGAAAAAGGGGAACGCTCATTGGCAACCGACGCGAGTTTTCCGAACGATTTGATCGTCGAAATATGTAATGTGTCTTTCTTTTCCTCAATATTCACACTCTAATATATAAAATATATCTGTATTCTCTTATTATTAGCATAACGTTACTCAGCATTACTTCATCCAGCTTGTTGTCGTCGTGTCATTGTCATCATCGTCATCGTCGTCGTAGTCATCAGCACGTTTTTATGCTCATTGCTTATTATCTTTCGAGACGCAACGTCACGCACACGTGTGCGCTCACAGCCACACCACTTTCCCTCATTATCTTTCAACCGGCACTATCTTGTCCTAGCTATCTTTCTCTCTTTCTCTCTTTCTTTTTCGCCCATACTGTCATTCTCTCCCGCCACTCATACCACATAGCCTAATCATTCTAATATGGAAGACGATCGAAGTTTATAAGAAGACACTCATTTATTCGCGCGATCGGGTAACCAGCCAACGCGAACAGAAACAGCGCGCTCCATTTTCGGATCTTCTTAGAGAGAAAATCTCAGTATTTATTATTTAGTCGCTCTTTGCAAATATATTTATAATATAATAATAATAATAATAATAATAATAATAATAATAATAATAATATAATAAAAAGAAGAACTTAAAACTCCTCTCAGTCTATTCATGAAAATTATCGGAAACGAAACCTTTTACTGTAGCGAGTATAGAGTGTCGTATTGGAAACGCGACACCCTGCATCTTCATCGCCAAACGTTTTCGCATCACACTGACGTAAAACAAGCGAAACTGGAAAAAACGCATCGCGAATTCACGCTGCGCCGAGAGATCGGGGCACGCGATACGTTACTTGCGATACGTTGAATGTTCAGCAAAGATCGAAAAACAAGAGCGACAAGAGCGGTCGCAATGACCGTAAAATGCATCTCGATTCGTAAACATTGTTTTACGGCAACTCTTATGCTTTTGCTGCAACCGACGCCATTCGCAGTGCGTTAATCGGTTTCACCCGGCTACCATTTTCTCTTACGCACTCCTTCTCCTCCCACCCACCCTACTTCTTATCCTCCTCCCTAACCCAACTCCCTTCTCCATCATTTTCTCTCTCTCTTTTACGCGCACATACACACAACACACACACACACACACACACACACTCTCTCTCTCTCTCTCGTTCGTTCGTTCGTTCGTTCGTTCGTTCGTTCACTCACTCGTCGACGGGAGTCCTCACTCCCGCCTCTCCTTTCACTCTCGAGACAACTTTCCCCACCTTTACTACTTCTTCAGAGAAGAAACTCGAAGAAACGTAACCGTACGCTTAACGTAATGTGTAACTGCGTTTTGGAATATTGCAACGTTTCACCTGCCCCGGATCGAGCGATACCGAGCCATCATACTCGCAAGCGGCTCCGAGAGATTCGACGAGACGAGAGATGTGCTGGAAGACAGGGGAACCGCGTGGACCGGAGGGCGTCGGGAGGGCGAGCCGAGTGAGATCAATGAACAACTTACTCGGAGAAGTCACGTTTCGGAATAAACTTGCGCCCGGTGCCCTTCATAGCCCCTCCTCGCAGCTCCCGTGTCCTCTCTCCCATCTCTCCCCCCGACCTCTGATTTCCTCGAGCCTAATAAACGAGTTTTAATAAACGGAACCCGGAGGCTCTTACCGGGCTGATTTCGCCTTTTCTGCTGGATTCGCGATCTTAAAGTTAATAGAATAAACAAGAGCAAAAGGAAAAGATAAGATGACAAGTGTACCGACAATAACGTAATTAATACATGAGAGATGTGCGACTATAACGGAGTAACATACATACATACATACATACATACATACATACATACATACATACATACATGCATACATACATACATATGTATGTATAGAAAAGGAAGGAAAAAAAAGTAAAGAGAAGAAGAGGCAATCTCGTTGGGGACGAGAGTTAAATATATATGCCGTTGAATGTCTATGTGTGCCTGCCTGACCTAGAAGTGTGACGCTTTTTAAATAACAAGCCGATGACTGGAAGCAGGGAGTCGCGCATTTTTGCACTCGCGCATGTGTGTGTATATACGTATGTATATATCTCTCTGTGCGTGTGTGTATGTGTGTGTGTGTGTGTGTAAAAATGAAAGTAAACCTTAGTAGTTCCGCCGACAGAGGAATCCGCTGCGCGGGGATTCGCTGTCGTCGCTCGTGTAAAAACACCATTTTCATCTCGAAATCGGCCTCCGCGAGAAAATCCCGTGCTGCCCACTTCCTGACGGATCGCGGCACTCTCGGCCGAGGCTCACCAACTCGCAAGAGCGAATCCCTTTCCTTCTTAGATCTTAAGGTTCTCGAAGTCTACGAGGGTGCCACTGATCCTGTTGAAGACCGGCAGCCTGGATTCCGCGTTGGGCGACAACGGGGAGGGCGTTCTAGGGACTACTTCTTCAGATCCAAGAGGGCTGCAGACGCTGTTGCGCGGACTCGGGCTCTGTCTAGTCGGGATCAGGCCGAAGTCTTGGCCGAAGCTGAACGGCGTCGTCGGTATGTTCGAACAGTTCGACTGGTTGCACTCGTCGCTGAAGAAGCTGGCCATGGAGTTGGTCGGGGACTGGCTCAGGCTGGAGGACGGCGAGACTGAATCGCCAGTGCTGCCGAGGGAGAAGGTTGGGCTGAGGTTGAGTGGTTTCGGCTTGCTCGCGCCGATCATCGCGTTGCTGCTCGACTGATGATGATGATGGGCGCCGTGGTGATGCTGCTGATGATGATGGTGGCTGGTGGCAAGGCTCAGCGACGATGTTCGCAACAACGGCGGCGGGTTGTAGCTGCCCACGTTGTTGGCTGCAACGGCGCTGCTGCTACCGAGGCTCAGCGAGTTCGCTCTCATGAGATTGGGCGTCGCGGCGGCGTTTTGATTCGCGGCGGCCGCCGCGGCAGCCACCTGCGGCGACGCGTTCATCTGTTCGAGCAGGCGCACACTGACGTTGTTGGCAGCGGCGGCGGCGACCGCGGCGTTCGCGGCACTGCCAACGGTGCTGTTGCCGACCGCGGCGGCAGCGGCAGCGGCCGCCGCCGCGCTCAACAGCGGGTTCAGACTGTTCAGGCTCATTATGTTCGGCTGCGTCGAAGCCAGCTGAGCGCTCACTTTCTGATTGTGTATGCGCGCCTCCTCGAAATTGTGAATGAAGTGGCATCGCGGCCCGTAAGGGCAGAAACCGGACGAATGGTAGGTGCGGCAAGGCTCGGTCTTGTACTTGGGATGGCGGGCGAGGTTGCGCAGCTCGGTGTAGCCGTGGGCGAACTGGCACTTGTCGCCGTACTTGCACGCGCCGCTCTCCTCGAACGGTCGGCAGAGCTCGGTCTTGTAGCGCGACGTCGGCTCGCTCACGCTGCGATCCAGTTTCCGGTGGTGCTCTATTAGCGAGGTCATCAGGGAGGTGTAGCTACGTCGTAGGGGCGCGTGCCCGTTGCCGGCGTTGTTGCCGCCGCCGCCCCCGGCAGAGTTCAATGTCGCCGCGGCCGACGGTGGCTCTTTCGCCTTTGTCGAGGCTGCGTTCTGAAAACAGAAAGAGAGAGAGACGGAGATTAGGCTTCCACGCGTGAGAAAGATAGGGATCCGCGATATCCGTTGGAGTACGTGCGCGCGCGCGCAATGCATCGACAGACTCGAGACGACGGGAAGAATGATAAAACCGCGATTCGCCAGCGATTCCGCGACGTCATCATGAGATGCGAGATAGCGCGTCGAGTGCGAGCTGACGACGACGGACGCGATCGCGCGGAAGAGCGAAGCGTGTCGTACGGTGGACGCGTTGCGATACTCTCTCTCACTTCTACCAGCGCTTATTACGATTTAGTTTTCCAGAGATTCGAAAGGTCAAGTTAGGAGCTTGCAACAATTCGTCGGATCGACGGTAATTTCAATCCGTTAATCATTTCGATCATTTCATTTCGTAATCACATCATGGATGCATAATCAAGTAATTACTTGAAAAGCGATAAAAAGTGATGGAAATATAGCTAAAGAAAAAACTCGATGAATCCTTGTAAGCATCTGATTCGAAATCTAACTTTGATGCGTTTTGCCTAGATCTTGCTTTTGCTTTATTTCTCAATAAAGTTTTTCAGTGGAAACGCGAGTCAACATAAATAACGTCTCTGAAATTCGAGTGAAAAATGATAAAGAATATAGTCATACGTTGACCGCGATATATCATGAATGTGATGTCCGGATCTCGATTAATAGAATTTCAGTTATATCGGATTGATCCGATCTATTTAATATTGTGATACTCGAGGACATTTCGAGCCTACGTGCTGAGTTTTCTCGATCAATAGCCGATAGTCTGACGTTTGTTATCGCAATTGGAATAGCCGAGAGTCTTTATCGATTAGTACAATCAGTAAAATAACACAGTATAACGCACAAAATGGGATCTTAGAACATGTTTCGAGCAACGAGTGTATCGCAAAGCCAACAGAGAGAATCTAATTCATAAGTCAATAATTTGTTTTTTCCTCTTTTTTCCCTTTCATCATTATCATTAGCGCGTCATCGATAGATAAGAAAATACAGAAAATAGATAACCGTAGTTATTATTTACTGTAGTTATCTATTATCTCGACTGATAATTAATTCTATGAAGAAGTAAATTCGTTATTTAATCCAGATTGTTTTATTAGTTGAACAAACAATTCTCTTAACTACATCTCGAAATCCTCCTCCTTTCCCCCTAAAATAACGATGTAACATACGATGTTCGTTCGGAATCGAGCAATCAGTGAATTCTTTTATCTTGAAAATATAAATTGAAATCACAGACAAACGTGAATACACAGAACTCGAAAGTTGAAACGATAATCGTGCAATACAAGCGTGGAAAATGTTAAGAAACAATAGCATTAGTGTGCAACCCTCAACAACATAAGTGTCAATATGTTAATCACTTTTTTCCAATGTTTGTACAATATTACGTACTGCTGACATGATAAATCACGTGTCGCCTAAGAGTCACGTGACTGAAAAAATAGCTCGAGCGAGGTGTGACGCATAGAAAATCTCGCATGGCGACAATAGCTGATTAAATAAAATCAGCGGAGCCAATTGACGTCAGACCGTGATGACTCATAAACTGCCGTCTTGAAGATATGAGAAAAAAATTAAGAGAAAAAAGAGACCGATTCAAATGCAGCTTCGAACGCGGGAACGCGTGCGTTCGCGCAACGTTCGACCAGCGCGCCATCAATTACAGAAAAGCTGTAGCTTAACTCCCACGCCTCTCGTATCGCGCGCGCGCACGATAACAATCATTATTGTTTAATAATAAACATCTCAGAGCGTAAATCTGCCTAGATGTTATCTCGCGGCATAGAGATAACGGCGGTGTAAACTACAGCCGAGCTTTTTAACCTTTGTATATCGCGCCGTAGACGATCGATACGGACGCGACTGATTATCGAAATTTTATCATCATGGTAGGAACGGTGAGGAAGGAGGGAGAGGAGACGGAGGAAGGGATCGACAACTCGAAATTACACACGGTAATTGTGCCCTCTATCGCGCCCCGTTACAATAGAGACGAGATCTCGCTGCTCGAGATATCGGCGGAAAAAACGAATGAATAGCGACGGCTCGTCAAACTCACACACACAGATCGGCTGTGTGTATCTTCAGATATTTATAACGGATGTCTCATCTAAAACAATTAAGGCCGTAGGAATCCGGAGGTACTCCTAGGCCGACCACGGAGGTTAAACGTCAGCTCAAAGATCAACGTTCAAAGGTCGATTATTACGCGTCCTTTTCCGACGCAGTCGCCGATTTCTTTAATCTTTTTTCTTCTCGCGTGTCATACGGGTGCCGAGCCGCTTACAGAATTGGATATTTTATTAATTAAAAAAAGTGTCACTATGTGAACAGTTGCGTTAAGAACGAACGTCATACGTTGGCGATATTGTCACACGGCGGTCGGTATTATTTCTGATGATTATTCCGTTTTCGTGAGCTTTGCGCGCCTCGTTACTTTGCTCCGATTTTATCGCTCGCGACCGAACGACGATAGCGTGGTTTATTGCCGCTTCAACGAACGGCAAACACATCGCGCGACGAGTATACACGCCGACGGCGACGGAGCAAGCTATCACCGAATTGCTGTGCTCATCGTCGGAGACGGCGCGTATTCATCGCGACTAATCGTCGGTCCTGTGGCGCGCCGGCCGGTGACGTACGCGGAGAAATCCGACGTTTTCTCGAGTGCGAGATCACTCGCGGAGCGAGTCTGGAAATTTCCACCAGCAGCACGTGCGCATACGTGCGGGACAAGCTTGTTTGTCTCTCGTATGTACGCGTGTGTGCGAACAGGAACGCACACACGTTCGCCGCACTCTTTCTCATAATTATTCCTTGGCAGTCACCACCACCACGTGTGTGTGTTTATCGTAAACGCACGATCGTCGATAATCGTTCGCACGTACATACTCACGCATACTCGCATACACACATACGCGTACTCGCGTGAATCCTCGCGACGCGCACAAATACGTCGCCAAAAATATATCGCGCGCGCTGCCACTCGCATTCTTCGTATGGGTATTATTTGCTTTCGTTCGTCGGTTGTAACGTCAAGGCAGATCCGCCCCACGGACTCCGCGAACGCTTCTCTCCTTCGCATACGCCAGCTTCCGAGGAACAATCGCGTATTGTTTCGTCGGAATACCAGATTCCGAGTATATTAGTCAATCTGTGCTATGGCATTTCATGTGCACTTTAAAGAAACACCGTTTTTTTTTTCTTTCTGCCATTCGCATTCACAGATTGAGCATCCGTCTGCTTTGCGAAATCGAAGTGATTGTCGACTATACGCGACGCGCGAGTCACGCCGCTCCGAATTATCGTTCTACCCTCAATAGTCATGACCACATAATTAATCAGCTTCCACGAATGTCTGACTTGTCGCGAGTCATATATCGCGCATCTCTCTAGAATAAAACGTGTAACGAGCAAATGAACGTGTATCACGTATTTTGTATTACTGACCGCGCGGCAGAAATTTAATTTTAAACTTGAAACGACAAATTTTCTTTCTTGATATATAAATTGTTGTGAACGAATCGCTAATTAAATCTCCAACATATGAATAAATGATAAAATCTCATTCTCTTTTTCTCCGAAACAACTTATAGAGAGAAAAAGAGATTGGATTTATAAAATATAAAAATGAATCAAATTTTTTATCTTAATATTGTATAATAAATCCAATAATAAACATCACCGTTTATTAATCCGTGATATAATTACCGAGAATTCAACATCAAACGTGATGAAATTAGATCAAAACGTTACGTTAAACGATTTAAAGTTATCCGAAAACAAATTCCTTCGCTATCGTATATATATCTTCGGTTTACACACACACACACACACACTCATACTGTTACACATTTATCTTTTGACGGTGTACATTTCTCGTAGCGCCGCGACCGTGGAGAGGAAAAGTGTCTGTGTATTGGTAATAGAATAAATAAACCGATTAGATTTTTCTATCTCATGGAAGCCTCGCCATCTCGTGAAAGCCGACGGTGGTATGGTATGGTTATACGTGCGAGCGACTGTTTCCTTCACGTAGCTGATGAATCATTCTAATGCGTTATGAAGCAGCAGAGTCGGTTCACTCCGAAAAAGCGCCGAGCGAACGCCGCGCGCACGCTTACGTTTCCTCGGAGATGGGCGTGCAATTTCGCGAATTTAATTTCTACACACGTTGTAAGCACGACACGTGGCGTTCCATTCATCCGTTTATTCGGCTGACGCCGAAACGTGAGGCCGAAATAAAAACGCCGTCTATTTTCAAACCTGCGCGCTGTAACATTCCAAGACTCGAAAGTTCTCGAGTATAGAGGAATGGAAAACACGTACCGTCGAGATACTGTGTTTCTTGCATGGGAATTTTATCATTTCACAGCGAATTTGATAATTTCTCAGGTGAAAATCTTCATTCCTATTTTTTTATGACACTTCAGCCGCATTTGTCGAGCTCCTTAGGATGGTGCGACTTAGCGTTTTGAAACGTGCAATTAACCCTTATCGGACGCTAGCTTTTTATGCGTGATTCTCACTAGATTGTAGCTAGTTTCGGTAAATATGTGAACTTGTCACCTCCTACGTGACGTATGACCGATAAGGGTTAATAATATTTATGTTGCGGCACATCGCAGCTTACGCTTCGTCCTATTCACGAAAAAAAGAAAGATTTTGCAGCTAATCATGGTTTAACTGGAAATGTTTTACTGCTGTAATTATGTAGCCAGTATTCATAGTCGGACCTCATATTTAAAACTATCTTGAGTTCATCTTCAAATGCTATACAGCGCATTTCATTGGTTACGAAACATCTAAAGATGAATTTAAGACGGTCTTAAATATAAGATCTGTCTATGAATATCGATTTAAAATTTTAGTTACTGCTGCTCGATATATAAGTGCCATACTTAATATATATATATTGCAGCTAAACTTATCCATGTGTTATAACGAAGATTTAGCCAATATATAGACAC